AAGCCTTGCTTTATGGCCTACCTGAGTGCATTATTTGTTGCTCGAAGAGTTGCAGTTTCCCGACAAAAAGAACATCCACAATGTTCAATCTTCCCAACGAGAGCCATGTATGGCTGAGCTAGGAGCACGTGTGCAATGTATCAGGGTGAGTACATAACTGACACTGACACACCTAACACACATCAGCGGCACGGAATGGTTGGGCAGAGGACATTCAGGAGACGAGTGTGAACAAAGCTGACAAAAAATAACCACACCTAATGTATATTGCTACCCCTCTGATTTGCCTGAAACAACAATTACTCTCAGTGCTTGCTTGATTAGAGCATGCTCTATCAATTGGCCGGCTTCCTCCCGAGGTACAAGGTTCTTTTCAGATGGGTCTGCTTTGGACTAGATGGTCCGCTCCTCTTAATGAGTGGTACTTTATCTAGCCCAGCCCTGACCAATTTAAACCAAACAAAAGTAAGCGTTTCTCATACCTGAGAACGCCCTGTACGCCAAACAGCCCATCAGGCACATTCGCCCATAAAATTGCGCCATAGCCCAGCCCTGACCAATTTAAACCAAACAAAAGTAAGTGTTTTTCATACCTGAGAACGCCCTGTACGCCACACAGCCCATCAGGCACACCGCCCATAAAATTGCGTCGTGAGTCTGCTTAGTTTGATAGCTCACGCCCCGTCATCGTTTAGCCATGGTTCACACGCTCTGGGCATCTCCGTTGTGTCCCCAATTTCTTAATGGTAGCTGTCACCTTCTTGGCCTCGGCGACCTGCCTTTCCCAGCGGCTGTTTGTCGCTTGCTTCTTCAGAGTGACCGAGCAGTTTTACCTGCCTGGCTTTCCTTCGGCCGGACAAAATAACTGGCAGCTAGAGTACTTTATTGATGCACCAGCTGAAATTACGACTGCTTGGTCGCATTCCATCTTGCAGATCTTGTAACATTCACGAGGGATAAAAGGCTCGTGTAGTGGTCGGTACGTCCTGCAAAGAGGATCTCCCTGTTGCGTTGCATCATGGTGCGGTCTTGTAATAATAATAATAATGTTTCTTCCAAACTTGTGCGTGGCATACTGTTGAGCATGGTAAATGTCAAAGTCAGAATAAAAGCATGACTGGCGTGATTCAGGGGGTACAGGATACAGGGGGTTTAGGAAAAATGTCGGCGTCATAGGTGGTGGGCATTATCCGATGTAGACGTAGCCAGCACTAAACCTGCCGGGCATGGAGGAAAAGTCACCATGCGTTTTTCGGGGAGAATATCGAGCAAGATTAGATCGTTAGATTTGAAGTTGGTGGGCGAAAAACAAAGTGAGGGAGGGCAAAACAGAGGCTTTCTGCCTTACACATGACAAGAAAACCTTAAGCGGTAAAAAATGTGGGATCAGCATAACAGAACTGGTGGAGCAGCAGAGTTGAGGTCATCCAGCCACTTAAGTTGAACGAGAACCTAAACTACCACTGAAAAACCGTAGGCTTGGACGGTTGGGCCCATGGCTAAGGTCACACAAAGCGTAAATGCGGATGACGAAATGGAGGGATAACAAAACCGATAAGTGGTAACGGCAGCCTCAGAAATGTGGTGTATAGCGAAATTGTATAGACTCACCGGTGTCGCTGTCGTGGAGTCTGGCATAATATTTCCTTGGGCGAATGAGATGATGACAAAACACGGGCCGGAACGCGAACTGTTTCGAAAGTCAGTGATTTTGCGGGAAGCACAGACACAAAGAAATGGTTAAATTTGAGCGTAAGCTTCAGCAGATTTAAATGGACATGTCACGCATGCGGCTGGGGCCCGGTAGGAATCTTGTTCGTATTTGCGGTTAACGGAACGAGTGGGCGAAATGGCATGGCCGAGTGTAGGAGGGGAATAGCCGTGTTGTCAAACTGGGTATGGCAGTGCCGTGCCATCAATGACCCGGCATACTTCGGTTTTTGAACAGCCCCTGCAGTAGCACGGGTGTTTCAGCCATCGACGGTGTTTTGAACATGGCCTTCAATTCAGGGAATCAGGGAATGTGCATTTTTCTTTTCTGCTTTTGCTTGGCTAGATTTGTCGCGATTGTGTCATTTAACTGGCAATACTTTAAAATACGGATGGTGAAAGAGAAAACAAATGCATTTCGCCTGTGAAAAAGTCCGTAAAAAACAGGTGTGGTAGCCGGAAGGCTCTATAATGCTAACAGCCTACATGGACGTTTGGAGCTCTAGCTGCCCCCGTCATAATAGGGGTTGTACCGCACCAAATCCCACTTCGTCAGCCATACAAACTCGCGCACCTACATACTACTACCACGAGTGGACACTATATATATAAGCGAGATTCCTGATCATCCGCTACTGGCATGCAAGACTTCGCCCAAAGATTCTTCTTTCTTAACGCACCGCTTGTCATCTTGAGGCTGATAGCAGTGCTTCAGGGACCGGTGACTGTTTTTAGTCCATCAACCCGGAAGCACGCTCTTATCATGCCTCACACGTTCTATTTCTCTGATCAAACCTCTAAGAGTGCTTATAGCGGTTGGCTGTAGACATTTTGTACCGTAATACCATATATTGGCACACTCAACCCCTTCGGGATCGCTAGTCTACCAGGTGCGAATTCATCCCTATCCTATCTCACCACCCTAATTGTAATAGACGGGTTTTTTCCTCTCTATCAATGCTCATTAACCTATCTGATATCATCTCACACTCAATGGACTTCGCTAATCTTATACGTTTTCCGCGCTTTCCCCTAGCTTCGCCTTTGGCAGTATCTGTCGATACCTGGATACAGCAGGAAACAGCACGACGGAGGGAAGGTACAACCAATGAGACATGCTTATTACGTGAGAATTCACCGCAGTTGTGAGAACAGTGAAAACCGGGACAATGAGCACGAAGTTCAATAATGAAGCCGGTTGTGGAACTAAAACTGAGTCGGACAAGGATGTCAGGCCTCACGCGGAAGAAAAAACGTGTTCTTTAGGCGCATGAACAGTCGCGGAATTCAGACACCCGCCTTTTTAGGGACAGATACGGAGAACCCAAAACGATACGGTAGTGGTACTACAGGCCGTATAAAACACAGCGCAACCTGTTTTGCCGCAGCAATCTAACCACGCCAGATCTTGGCGAGGTGGAAACGCAAACCGAAGTTGGCCACTGAGGTGTTTACAGAGTGGGATGTTGGTATAACTTTGCAAAGGATATGCCATCTCACAGGGAGGCCAATCGAAGCATATGCGATAACCATCAATGAAATACGGTCCAGCGTGTTCAAACGTTTATAGCCGGTGTTTCAGCGGTTCGTCTTGGAGGCGACCCTCCTCCTCATCGGAGGGAACCGTTCGTCCCTCCAAACCATAAGATTGTGTCCACCTGTAGCCCGCTAACAGATCAACTAGCATCGACCACGCAAGTTGGTGACAAGTATTCCGAGCAGGGCCATCGTAACTTACCTCAGGAAAAACAAGTTGACTTGTCAGGCGCAACGATGATTCCTCTCAAAAAATTCCGATGTGATAAACCTGCCCGCGGTCCGAGACAGTTTACCAAGAGCTTAAGACGAAGGACTCTTTTGAAAACTCGTATTTTTCGACTTAACAAAGCATTGAGTTGACTTCCACACGCATCAAGGCTCCGTATTCTCGAGTCTTACGGGATACAAGAGATGTTCTAGGATGGAATAAAGCGTCCGTTTAAAGTGGAACCCTGTGAGTATCGATGTGCGCTTCCGGGTCCCATTGGGGCCCTTCAAGGGCTGTTCTTCGTCATTATTTAATCCCAATTGCCTGTCCGATGGCATCCAAGCATATGTAAGCCTCTTGCCGGTGACCTGAGACTGTAGGGTTCAAACCACAGAGCAGATAGATAAATGGTGACGCCGAGAGGCAGTGGTCGCCGGATGGGTGCCTATTCATTTGACGATGAAGAAGACCCAGAAAAGGCCTTTTTCGTGCCTGCTGAGAACGAATCAGAACGGAGCTGAGCGTCAAGGTACTTGGATATTGGGCCATTTCTAGACATAATCCTACTCCTGCAAGAAAAGCAAGCCGAAATTCATCTGCTGTTCCTCGGATTATTCAGCACAATGTCCGTCTTACTACTTGAACTTTCGGACACTTAATGGAGCCCGCGCGGGACTGCCACTCTAAAGAGCTGATCACATTGTCTATTTAGAACATAGGATGGACGTAGTCCTCTCTCAGTGTGTTGAGCGATTTGTTAGAACGCTGTTTTGTGGGTCCAAATAAGTTGATTATGTGGAGCGCCTGAAGATGCTTGAACTCTCCCACTGAATGTTGATGTTTTCGGAGATACTTGATACACATGCACTCTTTCACGATGGAAACTACCCATGGGGCCGCTGAAAGCTGTCCTGTAGCCCACCACCCTTTTGATACTCTCGTGGCCCATCAGGTAGACGCAGTCCCCGTACCAACTGAAACACTGAGTGGGCTTTGTGCAGCAGATTCTTTTGAACAGTACCACAAAAGAGAGTCCCGGCCAGTATTCAGACGAGTCTTACATGACAGCCAAATGGGTGTGCAAGTTGACGTGATTGTCGAGTTAATTACGCGTTGTTTGAACATATTTAGCCGAAAGGTTTTTCACCATTTACCCCATCAATACATGGCCAAGATCGGATTATAATTTTCTGATTGGGGTGCGCTCTTTTATTGGCCAACAGTCTTCAGTATTTCGGGAAGTGCTTTGATGGAATAACCTTCTTCTGATAGTTATCCACAATGAATCTAGGATCCAGTTAAACTCACCTGCGGATGTTGATAAGCCGCTTGCTCGGGACTGTGAACCGAATTAGCGGTGCTACACTTCTCTCCGCCTGTGCCTTCCAAGAAAGCCGAAGACTCTGAGAAACGAGAAGGAAGACTACCCTGAAAGACTGATCATAAGCCCCGATTTTGTGGATTAACCCGTAGTTCTGTGAGCATGTCTTGAACTCGTTTTAATTCACTTAACTTGCGAGTATCGAGTTCGGCGGCGTTTTTGATTGGATAAGAATAGTTCTGCCGGTGGCTATCTTCGATGAAGCGGCGCTAGTCATGTCTGGGGTTTTGCTGAATGATAATGGGGTTAAGCAAGAATATTTTGAAGACGACGAAGCGCTTCTCAAGGTCGACACTTTTGACACCAACTCCGAACCCTTACCAAGTGAACTCTCAGAAATCGGTTTTGACAACACCCCACCTGGTTTCGTCGGTAGGGATCCGTATGGCGATCTTTTCCTGATGGATCCAAATGATCTCCTCGGGGTCAGGGAAGAAATTATTGGCACCGAGGCTACCCAGAGTCCGAAGGACTTCAATGCACCTGACCCGAGTCTGGATTTCACGGAGGAGTCAAACGATTCGGGTGGCGATCGGACAATGCGCCGTAAAAAGCTGAAAAATAAAGGTAACCTCAAACAGGAAAACGACGTCAGGGACCCATCTGATTGTGAGGTGGAACCAAACGAACATTCTAACTCAACTCAGCGACAGCTCAGTAAAGTTGATCACGGCCGGCGTTATATTGGTACGTCTCGAATGCGTCATGTAACGTCTGCATACGCAATCAAGTCATAAAATGACGACTTGTCAACGTTCTAGTATTAGTTCCATGTGTACCAATTTCTCACTCTGGACCTCAACCATGGGGTCTCGCATCTACATTTTTATTTTTATTGCGGGTGTATACGGAGCACAGCCACGGTGAACGTACGGTGATGTTTGCAACACGAGGAAAACGAGTAAAAAACATTCCTGGACTTTTATTCCAACGAAAAATGTGAGCATCTGAGACAGTGCCAGATTTGCATTGAAAGACAAAACAGTCTTGGCACGTTTTTGGCAGCCGTCTTAAAAAAACAGTTTTTGAGAAATTTGAGAAAATAGAAAAGGATAGTCTTGTGAAGAGTTGACGAGAATAGGGACCTTCCAGTACGAGTTCCACCGTAGAATCAGTTAGAACTGGTGGTCCCCTATTTCGGATAGCAGTCGCCCTTCACTTCAATTTTGCCGATTGTTTCATGTAGTAAGTCAACAACCATCCGCTTTCTAGTGGTGGATCTTTTGTGCTTCGTCACATGGGTAACTTCCCGGTTCCCGCAAAACCCGAGCGTCACGGTTAGGTACAAGCCACTTCGCTTACATGGATGGACTGCCAAACTGGTTCCTGCAGCATTTTCACGTTTTCCTGGTTGGCCTCTGTGCTTTTCGTTGAATATGGCTATGGTGCTCACAAGACTACACTAGGCTGGTTCCATGGAGCTTATTTTATGCCCAGACTACGTGGCCAAAGTTCGTCTGTCGTATGGTGTGTTTTGGTTGAGTGATCAAAGGGGATGCCTAGCCGATCCCACTGGTTATGTCCTGTTCCAATATTTTGCTAAGTTTTGTTGATCCTGTTTCTCTTTTGCGATGTAGGCGTTTTGTTTGTAGTCGTTTTCTCCAATGACACTTTTGTCCACGTATTCTCCCTTTGGGCCCTCCATTAGGACTTTCCCCCCTGTTTCTATGAAAGTCAAGCGTCAGCATTTACTATTGAAGTATGCGCCATGAAAACAGATCAGGAATCAATAATGTTCACTTCCACTCACATAGTACAACTTCCCAGAAATTCAGTCTACGAAGGGAGAGCGTACTCCCAAACATTTCCAGATCCGTTCATGTGGGCCTTGCTAAAAGCAATTGAATCATTTCTATGGGTATAAGCAGAGTTGGAGCAAAAGAATTCATCTTCTAGAAATCGTGATGGATAAGAGTGATAAAGTTAAGTCCGCCAACGTAGAGTTCGGAAGCCCGGTTCAGAGTCTTCCGTGCTGCTTCAGACGACTAGTTTCAAGCAGGTTAATCAATAGTTCACCATGTGTTTAGGCTTGCAGGCATACATTTCCCGGTTGAGTGAAAGGAATTCGGTTTGAAGGGAGAGCTGAAATATACATGTGCGATATGCCCACCCACCGTTTTGAGCGGTAGAGTGCAAATCAATTAGATCTGGACAGGAACTCGACTCAGGTCCTTAAGGTTTCAGTACGGTTAATTTCGATCCCCAGCGGAGATCAAGGGTGCCAGCTAACCAGCGCAGTCCGTGTGAAGTAAACCAAGGAGTCTTGATGGACTGGAGGTTTGAATGTGATGCCGTCCTCATTAAGTGCGGTATTCATAAAGTTTCGAAGAATGTCCACCGCCACGAACTTGGGATTTTTCAGCCATACTGGGTTTGTCGTGGCATTGCTGTGCATTTTTTTATTCAAGATCTTTTGGAGAGCCCTCCTGGAGGCTGAAACACTCTTCTCTCAACTGTCGGGGGGTTGTGCACTATTTGGGTTCAAGTGTGATGAAATGTTCTCGTCTAGGTTGCTTGCAGCCATTCTTAGACTGCTGGGATTCGCCAGCCAGGAGTTGCGGTGGCAGATACTCTGGTTGCGTGTAGGGGGTTATGGTGTCCACAGAGGTGAAACTGTACAATAGCCATTCTTGTTGGTTCCTTGGTACAATATCGAGGGTGCGTGGCTGACTGACCAACAACTATTCAGGCAGGCTCGGTGACGTGCTGGACCGGATCGAATTGGAGGGTCCCGTAGGACAGAGGCCTTGAAGGACAATGGGAAAAGATCACAATGAAATCATCTTACTCTGGAGTGACTGATTCCTGTAACAGCATGACGACTTCTCAGACATCCCGTGCCTTGTCCACGGACGGCTGTGATCACGGGCTAGGTCTTCCAGATTGAGACCCGGTCCCAGCAATGTAATGACACCGAACCACCATTTGTCCTACTGTACTAACCCAGGTCTTCAGCTACCGTTCAAGACGGCAGTTTTACCCTCACATAGTGAAGGAGCCAGTGCAAGTTTGCAAAGTTCGTCTTCGGGCTTTCGAACAACGTAACCGAGACCTTGAAGTTGTCGCTGCCGCAGTAGTTGCCTGAGACGTTGAATGCTGAAGCAGCGTTTTCTAACTGCTGTCATATAGTTCTCCAATGTCCAGAACGTGTCTTAGGTAACGGTGCTGTAGAACCTTGGGTTTCCTAGTTTACTGTATGCGTAGCAGCCAGATTCAAGTGATGACTGGGTGGTTTATTACCTTAAATGTGGGAACCTTTGTGCGCGGGCAGATTCTGCTCCCTAGATGGAACAGAATATAAAAGTGTAAGGATTACGGAGGGGTAATAATCACTCATGGAGGACACTCATCTCCCAGAGCTTCGCTATCTTCGAGGCGATGGACATTATTTACTTCGCTGTGCGGTTCGCAACTAGTACAGTAAGGACACGATGTCGATATCTTTTGATTTCTCATCTGATCGTCGGAGTTGTCGGCCGGAATATTACGCTCACCGCTTCTTTTCAAGTGATCTGCTATCAGCTCTCGATTATTATTACACTGTACCGCCTGGTTTTTACTGGAGTCATTCAGGTCAAAAGCCGTGCCCCGAAGCTGCTACAGCTTCACCGAGGTGGAGGAAAAGAGAAAGAGAGCCATTCGTTGAGGTAATTACGTAAAAGGTCTATTGACGACCAGTATTACAGGAAGTGAGAGCCACGCAGTGAAGACGACATCTTTGATACAGGACAGCCACTGGGTGCGCGACATGGCAGCGAAGTATTGGTGTTGAACACCGACGTCATGCTGTTGATGATGATGACAGCCTGATCCGGCAGGATACGTTTGAAACGAGGTGATTAGAAAACGGGTGTTTGGTTGTGCTGAAGGAACTTCATTCCGAGAAAACGTCCAGCGTCATCGACCACGATGGGTCGGTCATGTGCTACGCATGCCGAAACGCCGTCGACCAAGATGAGTGTTGTTCTCCGCGCCTCACTCAAGATTGCGCCCACCGCGAGGTGGACAAAACATGACTTTGCGTGAAAGAGATCAGGAAGAGTTTGGTTGTCGTTGGTGTTGTAGGCCTTCCAGGATGGGGTCCCTGCGACCCTGTTTATGCTTGGCAGGAGATGTTGCAAGAAATGGCGGCTAATAGATGTCAGTGGCGTTCGTGGTGTTAGTTTCCTTTCAGAGTGTCTGACTGAGCGGTTGGGGGTGTAGGTGAATCAAAGTTCGTGACACAGGCTAGCCCTAGCTCCTCTCCCTCACCACCCTTTTTCTCTTCTTTTCACTCTACGGCTTTTAATATAATCATATATATTCATACAACTAGAGGAACCTTATGGTTGTACGGTAATGAAGCATTCGTGCCAACACTGATGCTGCTGACTTTGATGATGATGATGATGATGATGATGAGGATGATCTGGCAGGGTCACTGGCTATTGGTTTGTCTCGCGCACGGCCCGAATCCACTGGGACGGCAGTTATCAAAGTGACTCAGTTGACTGGTGAGGACTTTCATACTTTGTTACCAAGTCTTGGCTTTCCACCTCTGAGTCTTCTGCATCTAATACGAGGTCGGTTATCGAGGGCTCTAAAGAGCAAATGGCCCCCTCCCATAACCAGCAAGTCAAGCTGATGTCACGTAGTTGTCATAAATATTGGCAAACGCTACCCTAGCCTTTTAAGTTCGGAAAGTGACTTCGGCTTTCACCAGCCAACCGGGATACGTGCAATTCACATTCATTATCTCAGCTATAAACCGTAAACCATAAGCAAATTGGTTCCAGCTACTACAGTTTCGATCACCGGAAAGTGGGAGAATGTGATATAAGCCTTGGAGGCGACGGCATGTTCAGTTAGTTCGGGAACTGGATACCTACGAATTAAAGACGATGGCTTCGGTGCACGAGAGCCACTGCGCCATTAGGCCATCTCTGGTAACGTCATTAGCCGTTAGGGAGTTCATTCCCGGGGTCCCCACCTAGAGAGACGACTGATTTTACTGGTTAGTGTTTTCATACTTCGTTTCCAGGTTGTACACTGCCTACCTCTGGGTCTCTTCCATTCGGTACGAGACTGCGCGAAAGGAGCGCCGCTGGGCAGATGGTCTTCTGGATGCGAACGTATAAAGTGCGAGCAATTTATCTACCACGGGAGAGTTTCTTCTTCCTAAGACCATCTAGCGTACCTTAGCATTAAGGAAGAAAGAAGCGTTTAGCTGTAACACTCGGTACCCAGCTGTCGTACCGCCCGAAATAAGCACGAGGGGTAGGTACTGTCAAGCTGCCCAAGCCTGGACATGAAAAGTCGAGATACAGAGGTTGGGTTCGAACCACGGACCTTCCACTCAGTAAATTCGCACTATAATTACTGAGCCATTCCGCTCTCTTCAACATTATCAATCACCAGACCCGACCGATGCTTTGGAGATGCCGCTGTCAAACGCTGACATTTTTCGTATATGCTCTGCGTGTTTAGGCCATGTGTCTGATCTGTGATGCAGTATAGATCACATTGCCGCAATGTAAATTCTGCCCTGACGTCACGTCTCCGCCATAGATGTCCGAGGTCGGCAAAAGCTGTCCCGGCCTTCCAGATTTGAGAATTAATCTCATCTTTAGCTGGCCCACCAGAACTTACACAACTACCCAGGTGGACAAATTCATCTACCACGTCAATTAGCTCTTCTACAAGCATGA